ATCTTTCCATCTTAAGAGCACAGACCAGTTCCCACATACTTAGTACTCTACAGTGAGCTGCATCAAACACGTTTTTGTTGGATTTATCATCAGTCAACCAGGCACTTCTACTCATTCTCTAACAGTAACCTTATCTATCTCTTTCCTCCTCCTCAAATAATTTTTCAACTGCAAACCTTACTGGCAGGTTTTAATAGTACTGAATCCATGGGCTGATACAGATACTAAACAGGACAGAGATGGAAACAGATCCCTGGGGAACCTGACAATAGAAACAGTCTTGATCACAGCTATCTCCCAAGTAACTACTACTTTTTATTATCTATCATTAAAGAGCTTTTTAATCCTTCTAACATGAGTTGTGCTTGAGATAAGTATTATTTATCTTAAAAATTGGTCACTTGGACAAATTCAATTGGTTGAGCAATGTTTCACTCTATCAGTATTGCTTTGTACAAGCTTGTCAAAATAGACAAGACAGCATTTGTCTGCAAGGATGTATATTACAAAGTTCTGCTAAATAGATACTAACATGTTTTTTATCAGATTCTAATGGGCTTCTTTAAAATGTTGCAAAATTATTTTTACCTTGGATCAACATACAGATAGATAGTTCTTAGCTCTTTGGGTCACCTCTTTCATGTTTTTTCAATAGTGAATCTTGGTGAGCAGCATTCCACCCTTTTGCAACTCTTGTAGCTTACAAGAACTGGCTAAAAAATAGTACTAATGAATAATGGAACTCTTTGCTTTGGCTATTATCGTTGGACATACCTTATCTAGATCTAGGATGAGCACTGTCTCATCCTCCTCTGTTATTAACTACGTAGAAAACCAGATGTGGTAAAAATACCTCCTCTAAATTCTAAACACAATCTGTTGGGGATTGTTTTCTCCCTGTTTGTTTTTTTGTTTTGCTGTTGTTTGTGAGGTTTTACCCCAAAAATACACAACTACCTCCTGATTTTATACTGTACCCATACACAGACCTTTTATCTTTGCGTGTAAAAAAACTGATGTGTTCTCTAAACTCAGGCCACCAGTATCTCCATGACTAGCAGATTTTCTTTTTCACCTGCTCCTTTGCTTAAGTTTGCACCTATATTCACTGCTATTTACTTCCTCCTCCTCACCTAAAGTGTGGAATGCTTTGAGTTTTATTACCACAATTTCAGCAACTGTGGAATCATGCCTTCTTTGCCATCAGTATGATGCTGCTGAACACTTTATGGCTTCCATTAATACTTCCCTTGTAAAGGTACCTTCCTGGGCACTTATCCTGACAATTGTTTAAACTCCAAGAAACAGACTCTTCCAAAGCTCCTTATAGTGCTGCCTGATGCCATATTCTGTTTGTACAAAGCAAATACGGACAAATAACAATCACCAGTACCTAGGCAACGGTGGGATTTCAGGTCAGCTATTAACTCTTCTTTATCTGCAAGAACAAGGTCAACTATTGATTTATTCCACAGTGGGTGTAGAACTGTGTGCATTAAAAACTACCTACTCCTTTCTAGAAGCTTTCTGGAAGTCTTTTCATTGGCCTCATGAAATGTAAAGTAAATATTATCTGTTTTAAGCAGGCCATATTATTTGCCTCCCTGTAAGATGCACATATATATATATCTAAGGAAATGTTTTGTCTACTCCTGAGGAGATCTCAAGGACCTGTTAGAAACACATTATAGCTGAGAGATGGTCAGAACCCAAATAATTTGAGTTTGTTAAGAAATCCTTATGTTTGCAGCTCTGCCAAATGGTGCAGGTTTAGAAAGCGTTATGTAATATGTATTTAATCACACGTGGGACAACATGTCTCAAGTCCACCTCTACTCAAGTCTGGACAAAAGCATTAGAGATTTTCTGTGCCCCAGGACTGGGCTGACCTCTCGCATGCTGTTCCATCCTTAAGGGGACTTCTTTACTCCCTCCCTACCATCACATTTATTTCTTCCTCCACGGCTTTACTGTCTACCCAATTTCTCTCTTTGTACAGTAGCTTGGGAAAATCACTCCAGGCAAGGATTTTGAGTCTCTCAGATATGACGCTGAGGAGATGTGACCTGACACACAGAAGAGAGAGGGAGAAGATGGGGGTTACAGGCTAGTCACAGCTGAAGACTCAGACAACCATGAGTCCCCTTTATGAGAAAGGGTAGGTTTCAGTGAGTCACCCAAAGAAAAGCATCTTGCTCCTGAAAAAGAAATAGAAGCAAGCAGGATTCAGAGAGCATGCTCTCCTGCTTGAGGCTATGAGCATGCTGAGAGAAGCAGCACTGAAAGAAAAAGGAAGATGTGCGAGAATCATTCATTATTTTCTTGGCAGAGTAGCAAAGTTTTCTATTACAGAAAAATGGCACATGGGGTGTTCTGTGTCCCAGAAGATGAACACTCTTCTGGCAGGCATAACTCTCACCAAAGGGCCACGTGAACTACCAAAAGGTTTTACAAGGAATATATCATCTACCCAGTTAAAATCACATCAGTGTGCTGGAACCTGAGACTATGTTCAGAGAAAAAATAAACACCAGAGGAACATCAGAAACCAATGCATATAGCATTATTCCCCATCCCTCCTATGCACAAAAAGGGCACCATATAGGCCCAAAAAAGGACAAAAACCTTAAAGCAAGTAATTAAGGTGCATTTTCTACAAGTCACTTCTTAGGACAGCAGCTCACTTAAACTGCCTGGGTGTCCCAACCTGCAAAGCATAGGCAAGAGTCACCAGGACAAGGATGCCCTTGTCATTTCCATCTCATCCATGTCTCCCACACCAGGAGTATATGGCAGAAAAGCATCGAGGTGAACAAGTGTGAAAAAGGCTAGTTGTCAATTAAGCACCAGTCCCAGGAGAAGGGACAGCAATGGGGAACAATTTATGTAAGTGATGCAGCTCCCAGGAGACGGGAACAGCCATAGCACAGAGCAGGATGTGATAAATACAGATTGTAGCAGGTGGTCCAAGAACTGGCTGTGATTTCAGCAACTATTTGTCTAAACCGGACAGAACTGCCTACTGCACAGCCCTGCAACAGCAAAAAAGCAAGCTAGAAAAACCACAAAAGCAGAGCAGAAGATTCAGCAATCACAGATTGCCAGGAGATGAGTTAAATTCTGAACACATTCCTGAAGACATCAAGAGTATAACAATAATCTAAGGTATGAACAACATGAAAGCAAAACCAGGCCTCTTGCAACAGAATCACAGATCCATAGTTTTGGCTGGGAATTGACTCCAGAGGTCATTTAGTGCATCCCCTGCTCACAGCAGGTATAATGAGATCTTTTTGGCCAAGTTGTGACCAGTCAAGACAGATACCTTCAAGGACGGAGGTTCCACAGCCCATCTGGGCACCGTGTTGCACTATTTAAGCATCATCAAAAAACCCCTAAAATTTTCCCAGTATCTAATTGATAAATCAAAGGCAGAGAGGCCCTGTGAAGAGACCTAGGCAAATTAGAGGGCTGGGCAATCACCAATCATATGAAGTTTAACAAAGACAAGTGCCAGATTCTGCACCTGGAACCCTGGATGTACGGATTGGAGAATGAGACACTGGAGAACAGTGCTGCAGAAAGGGACCGGGAGGCCTGGTTGACAGCGAGTTGGGTATGACAAAAGGCCTGAAATTCACTTTTGTTGAGTATATTAACATTTCCCTCAGCCCATTTCTTCAGCCTGGACAGGTTCCTCTGAATAGCAGCCTTGCCTTTCTGCATTTTGACCATTGGTTCGTTCCTTTTATACTGTCCAGGCTACAGACAGATAAGTCAAATTCTTCTCTCACTTACAGTGTTCAAGTCCATGAATTAGACACATTTACAATACTGAACACTACTCTGCATGTGAGTGTATGCCTTTGTGTATGCATACACACCCACACAGATGGCTCAGGTAATGCAACAACTGAAACAGAAATACTGCAGAATCTGGAAGAGCAGCTGCTAAAGTGAGGACCAAGGTGTACACTCCAAGCCTAAGGTGACAAAAGCTTTGGGCTTTCCTGACTTTGATTCTTTGGACTGCACCTTATAAAGGCAGCAGCTGTTAACTTCATAAATATTTCTGAAGACTTTAACACATGCCATCAACCAAGGATCATTTTATAATTATATCAAGTCAAATCCTCCTGATGATGATGATATGACATATAGATAACTTCACCTCAAGGTTAGGTCATGAGATTGTTTATCTGTTTTCACACGGGATGAGTCACCACGTATACTCACAAACACATAAGGTCTTCCTCAAAGACCTTATAAATCAAGAATCATGAATAGCATCCAAGGATTAGGGAAGCCAAACTATGTAGTCAAAAGAAACAGAAAGTGTATCATATACAATGTAAAATACCATCTGACTTGCACTAGCTTTTCCACATGCAATCACTGGTTGGCAAATTGTTTGCAGCCATCTTTCATCACAGAAATGGATCACGAGGAAAGAAATACTTCAACATGTTTCTATGCAACTGAAAAACAGTGCTTTGCAAGAGATATTAAGTCAGTATTTAATCCTGGCCTTTACTCAGAAATAAGGTGAGGTTTCATTTTGTTTTGCTTTTTTTCCCCAAACCAATTGCTAGATTACACTGAATATTGTTGCTCAGAGAAGTTGTGGGTTACCCGGAGCAGTTGTGTATGCCCCATCCCTGGATGTTCACAGCCAGGCTGGTTTGAGCTCTAAGCACACCTAGTGAAAGATGTACCAGTCCACAGCAGAGGTGTTTGAACTAGATGATCCTTAAGGTCCCTTCCAACTCAAACCATTCTATGATTCTATGAACATCTTAATAGGAAGAACACTGTTATAGTTCTCATGTGTATTTACCAGCTAAGTTAAACACTACTCATTTTCCTAATCTTGCAAATACATTACAGTGTGCTGACTAAACTGAGGAGGAAGAGCTTCATTCACACAAATACACAGCACCAGGTGTCTCACCTGTGGAGAAGGAAAATCTGCCATGCCTGAAAAGGTGCTCATAACTTACCCCAAACATCTGCCGAAGGTCAGGATCTCGAAAGCGGAAGGGAATGTTAGACACATGAAGTCGTTTCGGAGTGGATTTGCTCTCAGTATTCTCACTGCTCTGTGTCTGTGATTGCTGTCCATCTGTCTGTGCCCCTCCTTCTGTCTGCTGAAATCAGAAAAGACAAAAGTGTGCGCATGAGTAGAAATCACACAAATTACTTTCCTGTGCCTTGTCTACCCCTTCTTAGGTATTAGCACTGCACTTGCAGTGGAGCTATCTAACACTTGACAATTATTTTGATAAAGCCAGCAGCACTTAACAATTGATCTGTTGTTCTTCCCCTCTCTTTCCATGAGTAAACACTAATGAGATCTCAGCCTCCCTCCCCTCCAATCACCTTCCAGCTTAGTAGATTTGTCTTTGATTTTCTTAAATTGCTTCTCTCTTTTAGCCCATTCTTCCTCACTTCAGCTGCCACCATATGAAAGCTCTAATGAAGAGACGGATTTTTTATATCCTGGAGCTGGGAGGTAGTACCGCCACTCTAATCTCATGTGGCAGGATGTTCATGCAATCATCAAAATCCCACAGCTGAAGTGGCAGCTCTTCACCAGGCCAATACCAGAAGTGCATCCCGAGGCAAAACGGCATCTGCTCTGTCAAGCTCCCTTCAGAGAAATATTACCCCAAAAGAGGATCTATAATTAAATGGTAAAATCCATATAGAAACAGCTTACGGATGTCTCTGATTAACTTTTCACATATATTTAAGTGAGCCCAGGAACAGGAAACACTCATCCCCACTGTAAGACTTATAAAAATTGCCAGTGCTGCTTTTTGCTACCAATTCCACAACTAAGAAAGGCAATTTGTTCCACTGTTCTCAAGCGCTCACTGGCATGGCAAAGAGAGGTCAAGGGGTACACCGGGGGTATTTTTCACAGAAAAAGTACAAGAGGCAGGCAGAGGAATAAGGGAGATCTGTGTGCCAGATGAGTCCTAATGCCTGCACAGAGATTCCTGGCAGGAGAAAAGTAAGGAATAGAACCTTAGTCGCTTGTGTGAGCTTAGACTGGAAAGTGCTAAAATTTGAGCGCAGCATTAAATATAAAGGCAAGGCCCCTTTGCAAAATGGCTCGATGAGAAAATAGCATTTCTCGCACTTTAGTCAGAACGATGACCTCAAAACCTCAGAGCCACAGAACAAAGCAGACTACAATTTGGTCGGTTTTATTGCTCTTGTCCCTTTCTAAGTGCATTAACTGACAGGCCAAGGTATTCAAAGAGCACCCACCCACTCACTCTGTCTCCTGCTGCTTGCCTCAGACTGCTAGGAGTCAAGCTTTGACTACCCATGTGATACACCTTTAAGTGTCATTTCAACTCTCTACAGATGCCAACCTGACTTCCTCCTTAACCCATCAAGTAAAAAGAAGTCCTACAATAAGGCAAGGACTGCAATTGCTAAGAGTCAGTCTTTTAAAGGCACTGTCAAAAATACATGTGGGCCTTAAAGATGTAAGAGCAGGGGTGAGGTTTTTGCTGGTTTGGGTCCTTTTTTTCTTCCTATTTTAAAGATGTGATTTGTGTACCAAAGATCAAAGAAATCTGAGGAGAGTTGCCCACACCAATTCCCAGCCACTGACTGGACTTGTTAAGCTGCTCTGCACATCATTTAATATAGAACACTTCACAAATATTTGGTAACATCTCTTCAGAGATAAACTCAATTTACTACACTAAGAAAGTATCTTCTGCCCAGAAATACCACTTAAAGATATGACCTTGAACTTGCATATTGGTTACAAAGCAAGTGTATATACAAAGACAAGAGCAAGCAAACAGTAAGCACTGGAGTCTTGCCATTCTGAGCACAGCAATGGGAGCTTTCCATTTCATTTCAGTAGAGATGTGCATGCAGCACAAAACATGTTTGATCTGGTTAACATAAATTATCTATGATAGGAAGAATGACAATACTGCCCTGACAAGTACGTCTACTTCCCATAACTGTGCAAGTCTCAGAGAAGCCTTGTAGAATGAAGCATTTTTATTTGTCTAAGACTCATTCACCCCCCCAAACATCAAATTTTTGAGGAAAAATTTCAGAAACTTTCTTTTTGTCTTATCCAAAAGCTGTGCCCCGCATGTTCCCTTTCTTCTCCTTCCCTCACTTCTATGACAAAAAGGTTCTTCAAACCTATAGAGAGTACACCCCAGGGGAAGAATCAATGCAGCTGGCTTGCAATTAAATCACACCATGCTACTTAGTTGTTTTATTTTTATGCCTCCATCGGAGTCCTCTGCTCCTCAGGGCAAATCTGTCCAAGAAGGACAAAACACAGGAGTAGCTTATCTATCACCACTGCATGCAACACCTGCAAGTGAGTACTCCAAAGTAACTCCCAAGAATCACCAATACTCCTGCTAAAAGGGACAGCTACATTAAAATATAGGTTGCACAAGACTGGATCTGCTGATTCCACAGATGAGGAAGCCAGAATGTTGTTTGCACTCCTCTCCCACCCACGTGTTTCCAGGCAGAGGGCAGAACTCCTTTCTTACCAAGGGTGCGATGTATCATGTACAGTGGCCTGCTCAAAAGCACTCACAGCTGTTCCTGCATATGGCAGAGAGCTGCTGCCACACAGGAGTCATTCTGCAGCACGTGAGATGTGTACAGTAAGACAAATGCTTCAAAGAGTAGAAATGATAAAAGGAAAAAGGGATCTTGGTCTGCTCTTATTTTTTAACTGCACTGAGAGACTCCAAATGTTTTTCATGCTTTCACATAGCCCGATTTTGCAGTAGTAGCTTAACATTAAATAACTACTTTTGCATGCTGTAGCTCCCTCATCTCTATCATCCATGGCCCTAAGGTAATATTTGAACTTTCCACCGCTGTAACATTAGCTCAATACATTTGTCCACTGCCACAATTCAGCTACAACATAAATGAAAAAAAAAGTCTCTTCAGATCTTTTTTTTCCTTTTACAGTTATTCCTTGGCTTAATTCATTAGAAAGGAGATGAAAGGAAGGGCCTGAAGCCTGTTCTCAGGCAGCACATAACAGAGCCTGGCAGCAGCAGTGCTACCCTGACGAAGCCAGATGATGAAAGCCTTAATTTCACCAAGTGCCCACTCTCCACCTTGACTCCTTCCCCACAAGGCGTTCAAGCTCCTTCTGGCCTCGCATCAGCACCTCCAAGTGAAGAAAGAGACCTCTCCCTTCTCCAGAGAATCAGCTCAGAAGGGCATTAATACATATTCTCTAAGCCCCAAGGCCTGTCATCAGGCAATACAGACATGCTGCAGCAAAGGTCTCACATTTAGGAACAGTACTGGATTCACTGCACCTCCTCAGCACAGCCTGTGTAACATATACTGATGCAGGTGATAACGCCATTCATGCCTGCACATGCAAGCTTTGAGCTCTGCTCAAGGTCACTGAGAGACACATCAGAGCTCAGGACAGCAAAGCATGTGCTTCACTTTTAACTCCTTGCTGCCTGTGCACCCAGGTCAGCTGCTCCCTTACACCTGGCAGCAGCAAGGAAACCCTAAGCTAGAAGAGGCAGCTGCAAAGAGAAGCACAGATTATACGTGTGCATATACACATGTAAAAGGGGAGGAGGACACCTAGCAACACAAGCCTGTTCCAAAAGGTTTAGGGGCAGCTCTACAACCACCTTCCCTTCAACTGGTGGTCTCTATCCTAATGCAAGTGATAAACAACCAATTGCTGAGGATTTCCCCTCAGCAGCAGGGAGGCAGGGGCTCCAGCACTACCTGAGCTCTGAGCAGATCTCCATCTGAATGGCTAGACAGAGGGATGCCTCCCCGGTGAGCCAGACAAGCACCGATGCAACAGACCAACACAGAGATTATTAATACCCAGCACATTCTGCTTCCATCTCCCACTTGCTTCTAGAACTGGAACCGCTTCAGATCCAAGTTCCAGACAAACAAAAAACAACCCCCCATTCTCTCCCCCAGGAAGCAGGCAGTCCAAAATGTTGTGAATCATACCGAGGAGGTTAAGAGCCATAAATCACTGCAAAGAAAATATTTACAAAATACAAACTGTAACTAATAACTATATTTAAAAGGGGATTTGGGTAGCTTACAAAATCTAGGAGACAGACTGTGCTCACTCCACTGCTCCCCGATCAGTCTTGAATCCAAAAAAAGCCAACACCAAACACTCAACCTTGTTTGGATCAAGAGCTTGAAGAACTGTGGGGACAAGGACCAAAAGCTACAACTGAGAGAAGGCAATCTTCCCACTATGAAGCAGAGCACAGATAAGGTGGAAAAATCTCTACAACTTCTAGTGAAGAACCTATATCAAAACAACCAGTCGCCCACCAATGAACAGAACCTACTGAAGAGGTTTCATGGAAAAACAAGTGAAGAATTAGGCCCTAAACAAAAAATTAATCTCTTTCCCCACCACACTCTACTAAAGTAGGTTTGTGGTCCCACACATCCAATAGCAAATGTCACGGGAACTTCAGCTGCTTAAACACTTGTTCAGCAGATGGAAGACCTTAGGTTTAATTATTACTTTTCAATAGCAGTAAATATAATTTTACAATTATATCCATGCACTTGGTTTTTCAGAGATGCCAGCAGTGTTACATTAAAAAAAATTGGGGGCTACTTACAGGCACAATTAACTATTATCCAAAATATTCTGTATGCTAAAAAAAACAGGTAAAAAAATTCTAAGAACATACCAATTAACTTCTACAAGGCTTTTTACTATTTTCCATAAAGTCAGGTGAGTTTAGGGTATATTTTTTCTGATATATATTTTTTGTTAGTTATCTATTTTCGGACATACTCAAGCTTAAGTCATTTTATTCACTTCCCTCATTAAAGACATACCTCACAGAACACAAACCTAACATAAGAAAGCACATAGGAAACTGCTACCAGTGCTGCACAACACCTCTGATGTGTCCAGTAACATTTTCAACCCAAATATTGCTATTTCTAACAGTATTCTTTAGTGCTTTTTTCTTTTCCCTCTCAATGAAGTGGTGAAATGGAGCCCCCAGAAAGGCCTGCTCTGCTGGTCAGATTGTCAAACCTCTTGGATAGTGGCAAAAGAACTGCCACACAGTGACAGACTTAAGATCCATCCAGCCCATCGTCTTCT